CATGGTGGGCTACAGCCCACTTTAAGGAGTGTGACTAGTCACAATATCCCTTATCGGCCAGGCTAATGCCTGAAATTCCTGCTAAGTCACTTCTCTAGTGTGAGAATTTTTCCTTTGAGACCCAAGATAAAATCATTTATTTTGTAGGAGGTTTCTTCATTCAGGTAATTTATCAAATAGCTAGCTGTCACCTAGGGAGACAAATACATGCCCTGACAAAATAGAACAATGCAATACAAGTCAGGGTTGGTTTTTTGTTCTGGGGTTTTTCTTTGGGGGTAGGGGGGAGCAGATATGTACAGGATTACAGGGATTTGGGAGTATGTAGAGTATGAATGTGGGATATCTTCAATTGGAGAACCAGGACAGTAGTCAAAGGGGACAAAAAGCATGCCAGGAACAATTTGTCAGTGCTGGCTAGTACTCTCTCAACAAGGCTCTCTTCCGTAGTGACAACCCTGTATAATCTTCCCTTAAATGAGGGTGCTGAGATAGTTCTAAATTTGACATGAAGCCTCTCTTTTAGATGATCCTTCCTTCTTTCTCCACGAGGCTTCCTGTCTGTCTTATCTGTCCCCTTCTCTCCACATATAACTACCAGTAATTCAGGCCTTCAAAGCCTCTCACCTAACATAACCTCCTCATTGGTCTTTTTGCCTCCAGTCTCTTCCTCTTCTCCACACGATTGCTAAATTTACATTCTGAAAGCATGTCTGACTTGTTCATTCTTGTGTTCAAAAAGCTTTCGTTTTGGAGATGTTAAAAGGAAAAAACACGCACACAGAACTGTCCCTGCCCTTACAAAGCCCATATTCTAATGGAGGAGGCAATAAGTGAATAACTAGGTACATACAAAAGCATAGGCAAGGCAATCTCAAAAGTAAAAGCTCTAAAGCTGGAGGGACTGGGGAAGGTCTTCAGTAGAAGTTGGAATTTATTGGGTCACCCTGTTTGCTTCAGTTTCCTCATCTGTAAAATGAGCTGGAAAAGGGAATGGCAAACTACTTCAGTATCTTTGCCAAGAAAACCCCAAATAGGGTCACTTGGAGTCGGATATGACTGAAATGACTCAATAACAACAAGTTGAAGGAAATCTGCAATCTGGAGAGGGAGAGTTAAGGAGGAAGAGCATTCCAGACATGAGGAGGGCAGGGCAACCAATCCAAAGGCAGACAGAGGGAAATGGAGTATTGTGTGGACTAAACAGCAAGCTGACCCATGCCACGGGAGAGCAATATATGTGGAGGGAAGAAAGTGTTAGCAGGGGGCAGCCAGGTGGCACAGTGGATAGAGCACCGGCCCTGGATTCAGGGGGACCTGAGTTCAAATCCAGCCTCAGACACATTACACTTATTAGCTGTGTGACCTTGAGCAAGTCACTTAACCCCATTGCCTAACCAAAAAAAAAAAAAGTGTTAGCAGGCTGCAAAAGTCAGGAGGGATCAGATTACAAAAAGCTTTAAATATCAAACAGAGGAATTTCTATTTGATTCTGGAGGTAATAGTGGGAGGACAGAGTAATGGACAGATTTATGATTTAGAAAATCACCTTGGTAAATGAACCTCTAGAGAATAGATTGAAGCAGGGAGAGACTTGGGTCAGGGAGATCAACTGGAAGGCCTTTGCAATAGTGCAGGTGAGAGGTGATGAACCTATACCAGGTGGCAGCTGTGTGACAGGAGAGAAGGGGATGAAGAGGAGAGATTGTTAGAAAGTAGAAACAGCAAGAATTGGCAATGGATTGGATATGTGGAATGAGTAATAGTAAAGAGTCGAGAATGAAATCAAGATTGTGAGCCTGTATGATGGAGAGGATGTGTTCTTAACAGTGACAGAGGAGATCAGAAGAAGGAAGGTTGAAGAAAAGCTAATGAGTACTGTTTTGGTCATGTTGACTTTGAGATGCCTAAAGAATTATCCAGTTGGAGCTGTCCAAAAGGCAGGACTGAAGCTCAGGGATGAGGATATAGAGATCTAGGAATCATCTGCATAGAGTTGATAATTGAACCCATGGGAGCTAATTAAATCACCAAAGGAAATGATGGTGGTTGTTCTTTGTTCTCAAAGAGGACCAAATTGACTTGTCTGACTGTAGCTGATCAGATCAATACTGGCTTAGAAGGCTTTACTTCAGATTGGGCACAAGTAATCCATATAAACATTTGAAGTGGAGATGTCTCTAAATTTGCACATCTTACATTTCTTTTGAGCTATGCCAATTGTATAGAAGAAAAAGAGAAGACAACCCAGGACAGAGCCTTGGGGGACACTGGGGTCAGTGGGTAGGACTAGCAAAGGAGCCTGAGAAGAAACTGTCACACAGTAGAGAGTGGTACATGAAAACCTAGACAGGAGAGAAAGTGTCAAATTTCGTAGAGGTCAAAAGAATTGAGAAAAGGCCATTAGACTTGGCAATCAGTGGCAACTTTGGAGACAACAGTTTCAGTTAAACGATGAGGTTAGAAGCCAGCTTGCAGAAGATTCAGAAGAGAGAGAGAGGAGATGAAGTCAAGGAGATGAGTAGGTGTCTTTCTCAGGTTCCCTTCAAGGATTTGTGAATCCTGACTTTCACACTTCCTTAGTTTCTTCATCTAGAAAGTGAGATAATAACATTTGCAAGAACTACCTCAAAGTAGCTGTGAGTAAAATAAGGTTTCATAAACCTCGGAGCCAATATAATTGTGAACTATTATTATTATGTATGTAGCACTATAAAGGGAAGAACCAAAATTTGGTCCACTTTCTTTTATTATGTATATCTCCATTAAGACCTCCCAGCCCAATATACCATAGAGGTATGGGCTACTATACTAGATTGTAAGGCCCTGCCCCAGATGCTAAGGCTTTAGCTTTAGATTACTATAGATTATAGATTACTACACAATTCAGAAGCACTCTGGGATATCCAATAATGACAATAATTATTTTTTTCTTTCTTTTTTTTTTCCTTTTGGCAAGGCAATTGGGATTAAGTGACTTGCCCAGGGTCACACAGCTAGTAAGTGTCAAGTGTCTGGTCTGAGACTGGATTTGAACTCAGGACCCCTGACTCCAAGGCTGGTGCTCTATCTACTGCGCCACTAATGATAATAATTATTATATAAATAGCTAATATTTTTGTTTTGGTAAGGCAATTGAGGTTAAGTGACTTGCCCATGGTCACACAGCTAGTAAGCCTCAAGTGTCTGAGGCTGGATTTGAACTCAGGTCTTTACAGTTATTATCTTATTTGAGCCTTGCAACAACCTAGGAGGGAGGTGCTATTATTCTTCCCATTTTACAGAGGAGGCAAACTGAGGCAAACAGAGGTCAAGTGACTTGCCCAGTGTCATACAGCTAGTAAGTGCCTGAGGCTGGATTTGAACCAGGCCCAGCACTCTATCCACTGTACCACCTAACGACCTTTCTTGAATTATTCCCAGTTCTATCTAACTGATAGGTCTAGACAGCTAAATAAATGCACCAAAAGAATTTCCTAAGGAAAAGAGTCCTGATCTTTCCTTTAACTTTCTCTAGAGTATCTAAAGAAAATAGATCTGAATATGATATTGTAACATTTATTGCCAAGTTGTTTCAGTCCTGTCCTACTCTTTATGACCCCATTTGGGCTTTTCTTCTCAAAGATATTGGAGCAATCTACCATTTCCTTCTCCAGCTACAGATGAGGAAACTAAGGCAAACAGGGTTAAGGGACTTGCCTCCAGGGTCACACAGCTAGTAAGTTATTGAGCCCAAATTTGAACTCAGGTCTTCCTGACTCCAGGAACCACCTAGCTGCTCTTTAGAAGACATTAGAAGGCCAAATTCTTCTTTTGCCATTTACTACCTATGTGACCCTGGGCAAGGGTTTCCCAGGGTTTCTTGTTTCCTGGGGTTTTGGAGAGGCTCAAATGAGATAATACTGGTAAAGTGCTTTGCAAACTTTGAAACAGTGTGCCTCTGTTTCCTGTTCTGTAAAATCAGGGGCTGGACTACATGACCACTACAATTCTTTCCAACTCTAAAATCAAAATCTAAGAGCCTATCCACTGGCCTTGCACAATGTTTCTTACACAATAAAGGATAAGATGGGAACTGATTCTGTCATTTCATAATAAATAGTTAGCATTTAACACTTTACAAATATTTTCTCATTTGATCCTCACAATAACCCTGGAAGTGGAAACTCCCTCTATCAATACAGGTAGGCAGTTGAGTGATGAAATGGTTTAAAGGGCCGGACTTAGAGTCAGGATGATCTGAGTTCAAATCCAGCCTCAGACACTAAGACGCTATCTGATCAGGGCAAGTCACTTAACTTTCTCATTCTCTTCCTCATCTGCAAAATAGCACCTTCTTCCTAGAGTTGTCAGGATAAAATGAAATATTTGTAAAGCATATTGCAAACTTTAAAAAGAGCTATGTAAATGCTAGCTAGGGCAGCTAGGTGTAAGGTCTGAAGTCTGGAAGACTCAACTTCGTGAGTTCAAATTTAGCCTCAGACACTTAGCTGTGTGACCCTGGGCAAGTCACTTGACCTTGTTTGCTTCAGTTTCCTCATCTGTAAAATGAGTTGGAGAAGCAAATGGCAAACCTCTCCAGTATCTCTGCCAAGAAAACCCCAAATGGGGTCACGGAGATTCTGAAACAACAGAAAAACTACTTAACTACAAAAATGTTAGCTATTATTATTTGCTGCAGTTAATAGTTTTAGAGAGCTGGCCGCGGCACTCCAGCTCTCCATCCACATGACCAAGTGGCTTCTCCCTGTCATAAACCGCTTTAAAAACAAACAAAACCCAACGCAGATTGGGGGGCGGGGGTGGGGGTGGGGAGATGGAGGAGGGAGGGAGGAGCAGCTCCCTCCTCCCCCTGGGTTCCTGCTACTGGGTCCCCTCCTACTCTCCGCCTCCTTCTCTCCCTCGCCCCACCCCTCTCCGCTCTCGCCCCGCCCCCAGCTCTACCCTTCCCCGCCTCCCTGGAGCGCTGCGCAGGCGCAGTGCCGTCTCTCGGAGGTCGCCCTCAGATCGCTGGCTGCGGTGGCCGCTGCAGCATCTTCTTCCTTGTCCGTCCGAGCCCGTTGTCCCTTCTCCCCGCCGGGCGGGGCCCGCAACCACCACGATGGCCGTGCCCCTGACCGACAGCGAAAAGCGGAAGCAGATCAGCGTGCGGGGCATCGCCGGGCTGGGCGACGTGGCCGAGGTGAGGAAGAGCTTCAACCGGCACCTCCACTTCACCCTGGTCAAGGACCGCAATGTGGCCACTCCCCGAGACTATTTCTTCGCGCTGGCTCACACGGTGCGCGACCACCTGGTGGGCCGCTGGATCCGCACGCAGCAGTACTACTACGAGAAGGACCCCAAGGTGAGTCCCCCTCCTCGCGTCTCCTCCCCACTGCCGTCTTGCGCCCCTCCCTATGTCCTCCACCGCCCCGCTGTGCTGCAGCCTCTCCGTCCCGTACCCCGAGCCGGCATCTCCACCTTACCGTGTCCTGCATCTCCGCTTCCGTATTGTACTGACCCCCGTGCTGCACCCGTCCCGCATAACCTCCCCGCCCCGTCCTCCACCCCTCCCCCGGTCCTGCGCCCCTCCCTCCGTCTTATACTGCCCCCGCACCCCGTGCTGCATCGCTCCCCTGGTCTGTACCCCACCTCCCAGTCTCCTCCGCTAGCCACAAAACTGCCTCCACCCTCCTGGATCCTCCACTTATCTGGTCAACCTCAGGGCTTTTCCATCCTGCAAACTCTGGATGCCCAGCCCAGCTCAGCTGTAGCTTTCAGGGTTCGATACCCACTCCCCCCTTTCCTCCCTCCCTCTATCTCTCCAGCCGAACCTCCCCACTGCTTCCTCTAGACAACCCAGTAGCTCCCTCTGAGGCACAGCTAGAATGACCTATGGAAATAGATGTAGAGCTGGAAGGGGCCTAAGTAACGAAGAACCCTGTATTTGGAGGCAGAAGGCCTAGGTTCAAAGCCCTGCTCTGCCACTTACTACAGTGTGACCTTGGGCAAATCACCTCCCTGCACCTCATTTGGTACATCTGTGTATAATGAAAGGGTTGAACTTCCTTAATTGTGTGATCTCATAATTCACCCTTCCTTGACAGAGGACATTGCTCCCAGGAAGTTTCTTTTAAAAATGTCAACTTTGACATGCATTTCAGAATATCTGGGGTCTGTAGGGATGGACTATACAGCTAAGTTGATAGGATTCTTTATTCTTGTCCTAATATCTATTTAGTTATCTGATATCCAGTTTTAGCAAGTCTTGCTGAAATCTCTGCAAAAGACTTATCAAAGTGCTTCACGGCAGGATTAATCTTCTGGGTTGGGTGTTTTTTTTTTTTTTTTGCTGTAATGTTTGTGGGTGTGTATACAGGAAGCCAAACCTGGGCAGTCTTAATGTGCTGAAAGGTGGTGAATAGTAGTCTGCAGGACATTGTAGGTCTTATTGACCTGGTTTAGTAAACTATACCACTGTAGCAATTGTGTGTAAAACCATGAAATCGAGGAATAAGAAGAGATGTGGAAGGAAAAGAAAAATGCAATTTCTTTCTCCAGCATGATTCCTTGAGAAATTTGGTTTTTAGTTTTGACAGTTGAAATATTTTAAAAATAAACTAAGGATGAATGAAAACTAATCAGGAAAGAGATTAACTTTGGGATTAAAGACAATTTGCAGAAATTGGAACTGCTGAATTTGACGGGATAACGTACAGCAGTCAGTCCTTGGACCAACCTACCCTTTTTTCTGAACATACATTTATTTGATAAAATTTTTCATATTCCTTCCCCTGCACAATTCTTTCTTGAAAACATGCTGCAGCCTGCTTATATCCGTCACACTTTCCTTCATTTCCTTTTGGGTTCAACTATGACCTTAATTATTTTCAAATTATTTCAAAGTATTTTATACTTTGTAGTCAGTCACATAACAACACTCTAAGGATTATTCCAGAGAAAATTTTGCTTGAATAAAGTAATGTATATAAAACTCTTTGTAAACTTGAAAGCTATGCAAATATAAGCTTTTTTATTATTTTTATTATTGTAACAAAGGAAGTCTATTAAATCCAACCCACACAGTGACTTAATCTAATAGTGTATTGCAGCACTCTATAACCATAGGTGCCCACCATGAGAAGGGAGGTAAGTTTTATTGCCTCTTATCCAGGACCAAACTTAGTTATTACAGTTACTCAGAGTTTGGCTTCCTATCAATGTACCTTTTTGTTAAGATTGATATTGGGTTTTTTTTGCTTATTTTCCTCAGAATTAATTTATTTAAGGTGTCCCCTATCTCTCTGAATTCATCATATTTATTGTTTCTTATGGCACAGTACAGTAATATTCCATTACATTCATATTGCAGTTTTTTCAGATATTCCTGAATTGATGGATACTCATTTTGTTTCTCCTTTTTTTCTATCACAAAAAGTACTGCTACATATATTTTGTTTATACCATATTTTTCTTTCTCTGTGTTTAATCTTCTTAGGGTATATAGTGATAATGGGATTGATGGATCAAACAATATGAATTTTCTTACCACATTCCAGATTAATTGGGCCAATTTCTAGTTCCACCAATAATGTGTGTGTGTGTGTGTGTGTGTGTGTGTGTGTCCATCTTTCCACAGCCTCTTCACTATTTACTAGTTCTATCTACTACTTTCTTGTTAATATTGTCTAAGGAAGATTTTTCTAGTGTACCTGCTGTTCGGCAAGTCAGATGATCTGGCAAATATTTGTAGGATTACACGTGGCAGAATACTTTAAAATTTATGAAGTGTTCTAAGATTTGCAAAGCACTTTCCTTACAAGAACCGTGTCATGTAGGTAGTGCAAATATTGTTAAAGATCTTCACAACCTATCTCCTTTCTATCTTTCCAGGTTTTTACTTATTAATCCCCTCTATGAGCTTTACAATCCAACCATCCTGGCCTGTTTGCAGTACCTCACACTTAACACTAAATCTCTCTCTGAGTCTTTGCATTGCCTATGTCCCATGCGTGTAATGCTTTCCCTCCCCTCCTCCACCTTTTGGAATCTGTTTTCAAGATTCAGCTCAAGTATCACCTTTTGTAGAATGCCTTTCCAGCTCTCCCTCAGTCATTATTGTTTTTCCCTCTAAGGTTACTACTTCTATCTACTCTGCATATATTTTGCATATACTGATTTCGGTCTTTCTTGTTAGACTATAAGCTTCTTGAGGGCAGACTGTTTTTGCTTTTTCTTTGTATACCTAGTGTTTAACACATTGTAAGTACGGTAACTCAACACTTAATAAATGCTTGTTGATTGATTGATCTCCATTTTATAAAGATAAAGAAACAGACTGAGAGCGTGTGACTTCTCCACAAATGCCTTGAATTTGGACCCAGGTCTCCATAGTTCAAGTCCATTTATCTACTATGGCAATTTGCCTCTCAAATGGAAATAAGTAAGGCTAGAAGAAGATGCTAGCTGTGATTAAAAAAAATATAGTCATAATCAGCCAAGTGGTATAGGAGACAGACCCTGGACTGAGAGGCAAGAAATGTGGAAGACCCAGCTTTGTCCCTAGCTAACTGGGTGCCAACCTTCAGCAGATCTTTGACTTCTTTGTGTACCACTCAATTTCTTCATCCATAAAAAGATTCCATCTCTGAAACCTTTTTCAGTTCGAAAATTCTGTGAGTCAGTGTTTGGAAACATTTTCTAAGAGGTTAGAACGGCAGTGGGGAACCTGTGGCCTCAAAGTCACATGTGGCCCTGTAGGTCCTCAAGTGCAGCCCATTGACTGAATTCAAACTTCATAGAACAAATCCCCTTGATAAAAGGATTTGTTCGGTAAAACTTGGAATCAGTCAAAAGGCTGCACCCAAGGACCTAGAAGGCCACATGTGGCCTCAGGCTGAAGGTTCCCCACCCCTGGGCTAGAACAAGAGCTGAGATTTAAAATAATTTGCTTGAGAGAAGTAATTGGGCTTCTTGCAGAATATTTCAGCAGCATTTTAGTGATTTCTAGAAAACAATCTTTCTTACTGAATATTGGTTAAAATTATGATCCCCAATGAGTACCTAGGAATATTTTGAAGGAGAAGGGAATACATTTCACTTGTATTTTAATTAAACCACACATCCCACTTAATAAGTAGTGTTACTTCTGTCTGCAGTGACCTTTTTTGAAGGTTATTAGAATGGAACAAAAGATACATATGTTCTATTTTTTTTTACTGTATTATTGAACTTGCCAAGTTCTTTTTGATAATGTATTAGCCATTTACAATAGACCATTTTACAAATGGGACAAAAACATAAATAATTTTTTCCATGATTGTGCCTGATTTTGTTTCTGGTATGAAGAGTAACTTTAAACCATTTGTTACCCCCCTACATTATAATGCAGTTTCTAAACAAAGTTGTTTTTTTTTTAAAGAAAATGAATAAGGGTGCAGAGATATTTTTCTTTTTCATCACAAAGTGAATTGCCTAGAGAATATTTGATAAAACAAGTGTAGAAATCTGGAAGTTTGTTCAACCAGCAAAAATGTGGGAATCATTTTGTTCTATTGGATTCTTGTGGAATCATCTTCTATAATAAAAACTAATACTTCATTTTATTTTAGAGACTTTCTCCAATGTTGAAATGTTTAATATAAGAGTTGAAAGACTGATGAAAACATGTAGTACCACATTAGGTATAAATACACTGTGACATATTACAAACCAACCATTCTAAGTTAGTTGGGAACTGTCATACCAGTTAATGATAAGTATATTTCCATAAGGTCAGCTAGGTGGTGCAGTGGATAGAGTGCTGGGCCTGAAGTCAGGAAGACTCATCTTCTTGAGTTCAAATCTGGCTGTATGACCCTGGGCAGGTCCCTTAACCCTGTTTGCCTTAGTTCTGCATCTGCATCAGTGGAAAAGGAAATGGCAAATCATCCAGTATCTGCTAAGAAAGCTCCAAATGGAGTCACAAAAAAGTTAGAGAAGACTGAACAATTGTATTTCCGTAATCATGACTCTTTGGATTTAGATATTTTATAGGACATAGCATAGAAAGTGACAATTCTCACTAGAAACAGAGACTAGAGGGTAGATATTTAGTATCAGAGTAAAAATAGATTTGATTTCTCTGGGACAAAATCTTGAAAAATCTATTTCAGTTTCAAAATTCTGCTGTCTTCTTAGAACTGAGATTTAGAAAAACAAAACATGCTCCTAACAGACTAGACTAACACTTTGGAGGAGACAGGCACATTAAAACCTTGATGATATCTACCACAATTTGAAGTGGAAGTATTTCCATGCATAAAATGAGGGTGATAGTCTCTGGATTCTGAGTAGTTTTACTTTCTATGGCGATGTCTCTTAAAT